TTTTTGTGGCAATCATTTTTCATTCACCTCTGCGGATATCATACCTCAGATATTCGCAGATTCCACATATTGGCGTCCGCGACAGGATTGCCACGTGTAACAATGGAGATGACGAGTATGGAACCTTCAGACGATCGTTCAATCCCTGTACCAAGCACCACTTCCCAAGCAATTCATCAGGATATGGTAAATGGAACCCCAGTAGTCACGGGATATCTAGGGATGATTCCAATGTTCTCTAGTTCACCGACGGATAGTGTTACAATCGAGCAATTCTTCGACATACTGGAAGAAGTGTCGTCCATCGCCGGATGGGACAATGGAACACGTTTGGTAGTGGCACAATCGAGACTGAAGAATGAACCATTCAAGTTACTTATGGACTTGCGGGCTGTTTATGGTAAGGACTATGTTCGAATAAAGACGGCTCTTGTATGTAGTCTCCATCGGCCTACAACGAGTGAAGGAAATACATTGAAGGACTTTATTAGTATACGACAAAGGCGCAGCGAAACTGTCGGTGAGTACAAGGTTTGTTTATGTATCGCGTTCGAGAAAATGATTTGTTCGAATCCTCATATGGCTACGCTAAGGGACGAGATGCTCCGTAGCCAGTTCGTCCAAGGACTCACCCTGGAATTGAGGATGAAGTTGTTAGAACGCGATCCTCAGTCGTTTGATAGTGCGGTCGAGGTAGCGGAAAGATTGTATAATATCGAACAATCGTGCGGTTTTCGTGAAGTTCAGGTGGGTGGCGTAGTCGTGCCTCCGTTTAACGGGACGGAAGATCCCAGTAAGGAATCAACTAACATGGCCGAGCTATCAGCAAAACTTGCTAGTTTAGAGGAAACCGTTACTAAGCTTTCACAGGCAGTCATGGGATTGTCTGTTAATCCAAACAAGCACGACACTAATGAACAAACCAAAAGGGCTGGTCCTGAACGGAAATGTTTCATTTGCAAAAGCAAGGACCACCTGTGCTCTAATTGTCCGTTAAATTTAAACTCGGAATTGATCATCGACCTGGCTGAGGAACCCAAAATCAACGACCACAAGCTCCCAATTATTTCTGGTGAAATTAATGGGCGCACTGTGAGCTTGTTAATTGACACCGGGGCCGAAAGGTCCCTCATTAACCAAGGAAATTTGGAGTCTCTGGGGAGTGCAGACCACCAATGTAATGTGGTCAACGTAAGGGTCAAAGGGGTATCTGGGGGCATCATGAGATGCGACAGGAGTTTTTTGTTTAAAGTGAAGTTCGGTGGTAAGGTCGTTCCTACGCAATTCATCGGTGTCGACTCTGGGATTTTGGTCGGGAATCACGGCATCCTTGGCATGGACTTCTTGTGTGCCTGCCCGGAAATCTTGACAAAAATAGCGCACATCATGAAAAGGGGTGCTGTTGTGGCAAAAGGAAGTTCGGCAGTTACGTTTGTGTCATTGTGCAAAACCCCCAATTCACCGGACCCAATTGGACAAGTCGACTTATCACACTTACCCAGCGAGCAAGCTATAAAGATACATGATATCAATTCCGTATCCCCTCCTGAGGATAACAACAACAGGAGTGTAAATGATCGAGTGATTGCATCTCAGCAATTAGATAGTCGGATAATTGAGATCCGCGACACTCTGTTAAAAGGGGAAGTTGGCAACACCCCCACTAACCTCCAGGACTTTGAGGTGAGTAATAATCTCTTGATCAAAAATGGGCTAAACTATAGAGGTGAGCCTGTTAAGTGCCTTTGTGTCGGTGACACTATGCAGATACCTCTAATTGAACATTACCATGAGATGGGCGGGCATAGTGGTGCAGAAAAGACCCTGAAGAAAATGAGGGGCAAGTATTTCTTCCCTAATATGAAGAGGAAGATCAAACATTTCATAAACAGGTGCGAAATTTGTCAAAAATTCAATCGCACCACTCATAAGGTGCCGATCCAAGAGGTAACTCACCCGAACGAACCGATGCAAGTGATCGCAGTGGACGTGATAGGTCCCGTGCCCGAATCACGAAGGGGAAACCGGTACATTATCGTTTTCATTGATATGTTCACAAGATTCATCGAGGCCATCCCCGTCCCGGAGGTGTCGTCGAAAACTATAGCGGACTCCCTCTTCGAGAATATTGTGTGCCGTTACGGCGGCGGGCAAACTCTCATTTCCGACCGGGGGACGAACTTGACCTCGAAAATTATGAATGATGCATGCAACATACTGAACATCGACCGGAAATTAACTACCGCATATCGACCTACTTCCAATGGGACTTGTGAGAGGGCAAATAAGACTATAATTGAAATGATCTCCAGGATTTCGAATGGCGACAATGCTGATTGGGATAAATATATTCCATCAGCGTTGTTAGCTTACCGTACCACTATTCACAGTTCGACTGGTGAGACGCCATCTTTCCTGCTGTACGGGTTTGATCCCGTCATCCCTGGTGAGCCCCGTACCACGGACATGGATCAAGATGCTAAAAGTGCTCTGGACTACCGTGAAAAACTAATACGTAAGCTCCATGTGTGTCGTGAGGCAGCGGAGGTATTCAACAAAGAGCAACTAGCAAAGAAAAGAGCGTACTGGAATAAAAACCGAAGGCTGAGGAAATTCAGAGTTGGGGATTTGGTATTAATTAAGAAACCATCAAAAGTTACACATAAAAAATTCTCGGCATGGCATACCGGTCCTTTCCGGGTAGAGGAAGTCCTCAATGATGTAGTGGTCAGGGTAAGAGGCCGGAAGTTGAAGGATAGCCAAACTATACACATTGACCGCCTTAAACCCTTTTATGGGTGGAACAATAAAATCAAAGGAGCTAAGAAGGATAATCGAGGAACTAAGGTCGAAGGCGTAAGGGAAAATGAGGAAGAGGAAGTTGATCATCGGCAATCTCAACCTTATAGGGGGTTACATAGACCAATTTCTCACCCACCCCAAACTC